ATAATCATTTTATTTTTTCTCTCAAAAAAATAAAAAAAAAAACTTAACCCAAACGATGCTTTTTAGCTCAAGCTAAAATAGTCAAAAAGTCAAAAGGTCAACCCACATCCCAAACAAAGCTTTTAGTAATTCTTTATTATTTTGTGCCCAAAAAATTTTATTATTCATTTTTTATGATAAAAATAAAGGCCCCACTTTCATATTTCATAAATAGCAAATATAATTACCAGAACCATTGAAACATTACTTCATTTTCTTAGGAATATAAGCAGATTTGGTCGGGTCAGGTCGGGTCGAGTAATCTCCCATTTGCCATCAATCCAAACTTAAATAGATTGAAAAAAATACATTTGTATTCGTCTGCTCAGACTATTAAAACCATCCATTCTATAACAAATTGGTTCATTCAATTTTAACGAATCAAATGGATGTTTGCTCACACTCCTAATTGCTATACATATATTTAGCTCCCAATGAATAAAATCTTAGATTCGTGTGTGAGTCTAACAATATAATAAATAGAATATATTAGCATAAACTTTAAAATAATAATGACAATAAATAATAACATATATAACTAAAGATCAAGAGTAGGAAAATATAACTACGAGACTTTGGGAGTTGTGTTGTCACTGTCCTAAAACTGTTTTTCCTGCCTTCGTGAAGGTAAAATCGGAATGAAGCGATTCCAAAATAAAACTCATGTTGCTCACATTGTTACTCATCTAATATTCACGGCCACCAAAAGACTTGAACCAAGTCACGAACAAAAATTATCCAAAACAATATAAAATACATATATAAAGAACTCTCTAGAACCTTTCATATTTGAAATCACATTTCTTGTATCAAATCATATTTTCCCTACCTCTCTCTTTAAAAAACCATAGAAACATAACTGTAGGTGTTTTTAGTGTCAAGCCGCATAAGTGCACAATTATAAATAATAATACTAATAAATATTCAAATGGTTTTGACATTAAACCCAATAAGTATTAAATTTTAATTTTATAATAATGTTGAATATAATGAATGAATTAAATATAATATTATTTTTATTAAAATATCTCAACATGCTATAAATCCAAACTAATTCTTTTATTTTTTGTGACTCTACAATGTTTAGGTCTTTTAAACTTTCTAAGGCTTCGTTTGGGAAGAATGGTAAGGTTGGGTTGGGTTTGGAGCTACTTTAGTCACAAAAAGACAAAATATGATTTTTAGTCCAATATGATAAAATATCACATCCAACCCATAATCATTACATTCTTTCTCTCACAAAAAGTCAAAAAAAACAAAAAGCCCTTCCCAAATGAGGCTTTTTAGCCTTCCTAAACGAGACTTTTTAGTTCCAGACTAAAATAGTCAAAAAGCTAAAAAGCCAAAAAGCCAACACACTTCCCAACCAAACTATAATAACCCACATTCATGTCTTAGTCATGTTCATGTGCATTTGCATAATTTCGTCTTATTAAGCTTGCATTTGTAGACTTAGACTTGTTTTGCCTAGGTAAAAGTCTCTGTCTTGTTCTATGCTTATGTGATTTGCCTAAGTGTTGTATGCATGCTTTGTTCCTTCCTTGCTGTCTCAAGCCTAGGTCATGCTAAGCCAAAGTGCCTGTTTGGTGCAGCTTAAAAGCTGTTTATTTCAGCTTTCAGCTTTCAGCTTAATTTAATCTATTTTGATGTGTTTGGTTTAGCTTAACAATGCAGCTTATAGCTTTTTATAAGTCAAAAATCAGCTTATTCTTTGAGTGGGGCAGGAGATGCTTAATTTATAAGTCACAAATCAGCTTATGTTCATAGTTATAAGCTATAAGCTGTTAAGGGATAAGCTATAAGCACTTTCCCACAACTCTACCAAACAGAACCAAAGTCTTCTTAAGCCTAGGTCACACCTTTGAACCTCTTACACCTAAGACCATCTTGGAACCACTTTGGTTGGCCTCCACCTTCACCCTGGCATATTGACGGAGATGTAATCATCTAGGCCGAGATGTTATCATCTAGGCGTCGTAGATCCTTGATCCTTGCACCTAATGATCTTGTTCCGGGACTAGTATGACCTAGACCGAGGTGTGGCACATTTAGGCCGAGTGTTATCCTTCCTAGCCGAGATCAATGAGACCTTACTTGCCAAAGCCTATATCCTAATCCGAGATCATTACCTGCCGGAGTGCCCATGTCACCTTGCTTGTTGTACACCTTTTGTCATGCTCTTATCTTGTCATTCAGTCACTTTTTTTAGAAAACCCAATCCGGTAGTGCCACATGTCCCAGCAGAGGGTTAAGTCAGCCAACAGAGAAAGAAAACATATCATTTGTCATATCTTTGCCTTTAAAGAGAGAGAAGCTCTAGAAAAGAGGAAGAAGTTCTTAGAGGGAGAGAGCTAGATTCCAAGCTTGATCTTCACAACTGTTAGATCCGTGTTTTGATGTTAGATTCTTGATCTACTCTTGTTATTCTTTATGTTGATCGGATCGCATTGCATGATCTAACATAATTCATGAGCCATGCATTGATTTAAATCTTATTTTAGAAAGAGAAAATGATGTTCTTGTGTTTCTGAAAGAAAACCATGTTTTGATCCGAAAGTTTGTATCAAGATCCATGTTTTTGTGTTTGTTTTCATAAGATCTTCAAGTATGGATACCCAGGTCCATGTTTTCGAACTCATCTCATGAAATCTCAGATTTTGAATAAAGAAGTTATGATTTCAGCATTCATGTTCTTCATGTTCATGTTCTTCATGTTCTTCAAGGGAGGAAACTCATATTTCCAGACTTCACATTTCCCTAGGTGTGGTCACCGAGACCATTCTTGCCTAGATCTCACACCTAGGCCAAGCATTGTATCTCACCTTGGCCTACCTTGCATGATCACTTGCACCTTAGTCTATCTTGCATGCACACCTAGGCCGACCATGGTACACCCCTGTCGGCACCTTATAACACCTCAACAGACAGCTGCACGCCGAAGCCGAGGTAACCACACCTCGGCCAAGAGGTGTGGGACCTCAGCCAAGACCTCCTGAGTTCACCCAGCCAGGTCATTTTTGCCTAGATCATTTCTTTACATCCATTCCAAGACCTGGCTAGTACCCAGCATGCTTTCCCTAGATGAAAAATAGTGATTTAACTCCTAGCATGTGTTACTTTGTCTTAACTTGGTTTTGAAAAGAAATGTCGGGATCATTTTCATTCATGTAAAGCTTGTTTTAAGGATGCATTGCACAACCATCTTTGAGCATTCCTTCTTGTCTTCTTGAAGTGCATTCAGTAGACTTTATTATGTATTTGTAGGTCTTGGATCCTTGCCTTAATCCCTACACCCGAAGAGCTATATGAGTGGTATTTTTAATAAAGCTATGTTATAAAGTTTTGATAAAGCTTTGCTTCGTTTTGAAAAAGTATTTGTTCAAGTATGAATGATTATCCCTAGTTTTGTATCAAGTATTATCTTGTTTTGATGACATTCTTGGAAAGTCCTTTCATGCTAGGGGACTATAAGCCCATGTAGCACCATGTTTGAGAGATCTCTGCCATCGACGGTCTTGTATGGATGGCCCCACCAACAGCCTTATGCGGGTGGATTTGTCTAATCAATTCCGGGTCGATTATTCCCTTGTTTTGTCCGGAATGTCATCCCCCATGTATTATGTAGATGTTATTAAACATCCCAAGAAGATTTGAAAGATTTGATTGATGAACTTGATTCATCCCATGTTTTATTACAAGCAATGATATGTATTGTTTTGATGAAGATCTCGAATATCATTCATTCAAACCTTTATTAATTATATCATTCACTGAGTATCCAAGCTCACCCTCCCCTTTATATATATGTAAGTGGCGAGCGAGAAGGCGATGACGCCTAAGATGTTATGTGCAAGATGTTTTGATTCATGTTTTGTATCATATTGAAGATTATGTTTCTTAGTTTTAATTCACTTCTTTTGTATATGTCGGCTTGAAAAACCTTTTGATCAAGATGTAATATGTACTTTACTTTATTTGTATCCAAGTTGTAAAACCATGTTAAGATGTATGTCATTTCATTTGATCTATGCACAGCTCTTATGGACTACTTAGATTTAAATTTATTGCTTCCGCACATGTAAGCCCCATAGGTATACTCTGATTGTCTGTGAATCTTTGTAAGTTGGCCTTTGGTAATCTCAGATTACTGGTCATCACAGCACCATTCTACTAGGGACGGAATGGGGTCGTGACATGAACCCTAATTAATCCATGTAACAAATATTAGACCAATGACTCCCCGACCAATAGCTTGGGATACTAGGTGTAAAGTCATTCCAATAGACTTAATAACTCAAATTAAAAAGGTTATGGACTCAAACCTAGTCACTTTTTTTTAAAAAAAAAAAAAATTGAAGGATCAGTTACAATATGAGTCAAGAACACAATCTTATATAACTAGTATTACAATTACCTTAGGCAGAACTGTGCTCGTGAAAGACAAAGTGCAAAAGCATTATTACCAATCGAATAGACCCTCGCCATACACACACGCGCGCGCGCGCTCACATTAAGTTAATCATGCATACCAACACTATATTGAACAATGTTCTAAGATGTCATGAAAAAAAATTACTTGTGGTGCAAAATATCAAGTGTGTAATAGTGCTCACAATTCTCATGTGTGAATAAGGTGAACCCCCATAATATGCACTCCCCCCAACTAAAGTAACATTGTCCTCAATGGCAGGCAAACAATTAAGCATAACAAAGCAAAATTGAAATAAATACAAAAGAAAAGATATCACTAGAGTGTTTGTCGCACAACATGTCTACACAAGCAACCACAAATCCCAACAATTATAACAATTCCTAGACTAGTATACAACATAGGATCTGTAATTAAGGCTTATGGTGCGAAGTCATTAGGGGGTGGTAGAGGGAAGCGACTGAGCAGAGCCTGAAGCAAAGTCTAAATCTCAAGGGCATCTTGGTGAGATTGTGCCTGGTAAGTAGTAAAGTCATTGTAGAAGGCAATCATCTGATAACAAGGATTCTCTCCTTGAATCCTCTCCTTGACTTCTTACTTGATGGATTATTGGGTCCACTTCCAATTTTGATGATCTGAACCGTTCACATTTTAGAATTTGTCATAAATATCATACCTGTAAAAAATCAAGTCGGTCGGATATCAAAAATAAAGTGAACTAAAAGTTTTATTAAATAATAAAACTGTTTATTAAATTTTTTTTAATAAACGATTTTTAGTTCTTCCGATATTTGATCAATTTGATTTTTTACAAGTATGATGTACATGATATATTCTAAAATGTGAACAGTTTGAATCATCGAAATTGAGGCCAAAAGTGGACTCAATGCCCAATCAAGTAGGGAGTCAAGAAGAGGATCCTTGCTCATCATCTAATCCCTATGAGCATAAAAGTCAGTCTGTAGAGTTTACATTTGTTTATGGTATTGGTCCATATCAGAATGGAATATTGCCATTTGTTGCTGAAAAGTACTGTGGAAGTGATCCCCAGACTGTTGGACATGCATCTGACCATCTAGAAAGGCCTGGTACTGTGCTCCAATCATGTGCATGCGCTTTTCTTTTGAGAGTCTGAATCGTCTGTCGCGGTTGTCTGCGACGCTTCCTGCGGCGGTCCAAAATGACATCGTTTTGGACGATTTTTTTTTTCCTTCTTCTTCTTTTGCTTTTAAGCCATTTTTTCTTCTCTCATCTCTCAATTGTCCAAGAGAACCCAAACACACAGAGACAAAGATGGATGGCGAGAGAATGGATTCAATTCAACACCATTACCAAAATTTTCAAAATTATCTACACCTCTTCCTCTGTTATCCATCTCTCTCTCTCTCTCTCTCACACACACACACACACACATAAGCACTAGCATTGTAATGTTGAACCAAATCTGAATTTCATTCAAAAGAAATACCAAAATTGCAGATACGAATACTGTTAGAGCGATTCAAGATCAAATTCGAACCAACTTAAGCCAATCAAACTCATATCACTACAAATCAAACCACTTTGAATGCAAATCTGAGAGATTCAGATCAAAAGAAGGCCTCAATCAAAATATATATATATATATATATATAATATCAAAATATATATATATATATATGAAATTATTTTAAAATATTGATATAAGTTTGAAATTGTATATGAATTTGATCTTGAAGTTTGAAATTATTTTTGACGTGTATAAGCCCATAAAGGTCATGAATCACTATGAACAACCCAAGCCCATCACTTGGAGCCCAATACATAACCTAGCTGGTGAGGTCCAGAACAGCTGGAATCCAATATGGCATAAAGAGCCAATGACATTCAGACACGTGGCAGGTGAAGGACGAGCCACATCAGCAGACAAAGATCTGCAAAGTTATTGCCACTGCACATCACCATTAATGCACCCCATCACAGCGTTTATTACGACAACACCTCTCCATCGGAATAGGACCCCCTTACCCTGAACAAGGTAAGCTACAGCATAGACTTTCGGCGAGGGGGGCAGGTCGAAAGGGACAGCGAAATGATTACCAAAGGATATAAGCAAACGTTGAAGACAAGAAGAAGGTTAAGCTTTCTATCTCTAATCTCTCTCTACACCCTACTTCTCCTTCTAACTTGCTCGTCGGAGGGTTCACTAGGGGACTACCCCATTCCCCGTTGGACTTGTTTGCAGGTTATCCGGTGGGCTTGATCATTTAGACGTGGGCCTGAGGAGCTTGGACCTGTCCGATCTATTCACCGGAACAAACTGTATCATCAGTTAGCGCCGTCTGTGGGAAAGACTTTGCTCCGCGCGCCAGTTATGCTCATTGTCGCCGGAGACCCTATCCCAACAACCTTTTCCTCCTACCCATCAAAGTGTATGGTCACGACTAGATCCATGGCTTCTCACAATAATGCTGCCAACCATCAGGCCGACCCCCCCAATCCAAACAACCCACCACAGTATTTTATCAAGCTTACCAACAGCATTAACCGCATGGCCGAGCAAAACCAGGCCCTGATAAATGCTTTACTCCAAAGAAACCTTCCGATGCCTCCTCCACCACCTCCAGATATTCCACCCAACTAAGAAAGAGCCCCAAGCCATACTGTTCCGCAACCCTATCCACCCAACTTGGAAGGTTTGCAACCTCCTCCCCCACATATAAATCTACCACCGCCAACCCCACACCCGTCGGTCGTGGCACCAGCCCCTGAAGGGGAAGCCAGCAGCGTCCAACCCCCATTGACTGACCATGGTGACAACATTCCCCTCTGGGACGCCGAACTCCGAACAATGAAACTCCAACTCTAAGGGATGATGCAGAACATTCAGCATAAACTCTCTACCACGGCAAACTCACCATTTGTTGCCTCCATCCGGGACAAACCTCTGCCCTCCAAGTTCAAGATGCCCACCATTGACTCTTTTGACGGTACGACGAACCCAGTCGACCATCTGGAGACCTACCGAACCCTCATGATCCTCCATGCCTTCCATGACGAGATCATGTGTCGGGCTTTTCCCGTGACACTGAAGGGGTCAGCTCGACTGTGGTTCAGCCAGTTACCAGCAGACTCTGTCTCCACTTTCCAGCACCTCAACGACTCCTTCCTTAGCCATTTCATTGGAGCCCAGCGCCAACGCCGCCCGACAACCCAACTCCTCAACATCCGTCAGACCGAGGGGGAGTTGCTGCGCAGTTTCGTTACCCGCTTCAACACCAAAGCCCTACAAGTAGCGGAAAATGATGACAAGGTCATCCTCACGGCTTTCACGGCCGGTCTACGATCGTCCGATTTTCTCTTCTTCCTTTCCAAAAACCCTCTGACCTCCATGGCAGCCCTACTCTCCAAAGCCCAGAAATACATGAATGCTGAAGATTCTCTAGCTGCTCGGCAGAATCCAATAGCTAAAAACCCGACCCCCAGAAAAAGGAGAAAAAACTCAGAATCCAGAAACACCCAGTGTAATAGCCAAACACCCCACTATACAGACCGACCTCCCCGCACTGACCGGTCGGCACCAGTCCGACCTCCCGGTCGGTTCGAGCGGTACACCCCCCTCAATTCACCCATGGAACAAGTCCTCAACCAGATCCAACGGGACTACCCTCTCAAATGGCCCCTACCTTCACGAACCTCTTCTAATCGGAAAGACCAGTCTAAATATTATCGTTTCCACCAGGACCATAGCCATAACACTGATGACTGCATCAACCTCAAGGATCAGGTCGAGACCCTAATATGTCAAGGGCGTCTCAGCCGGTTCACGGACACCCGCCCTCAGTAGAGGCAAAGAACCGAGCCCCTCAGAAACAACCGCCAGCGCACCCCACCCCGGCAGCCAGCCCAACCTAACCAAGGCCATGATCGCCCTTCACAACAGCCTCGGCCGCCAGGTAATCTCCCTCCGCCAGTTGGTGAAATCCGAGTCATTTCAGGTGGCCATGCTTGTGGGGGACCATCCTGCTCGGCTCAGAAGGCAAAACTCAGAAAGATAAGGCAAGGCTCAGACAAAGCAGTTGCCACGATAGACCGATCCTCCAAACAGCCCAAGCAGTGGACAGAGCCCATCACCTTCACGGACGCCGACTGTACAAGCATCTGTTATCCTCATGATGACCCTCTCATCATTTCTGCCCTCCTCTCCAACTATAAGGTCAGGCGGGTTCTCATCGACAACGGTAGTTCTTCAGACATCATATTCCTTAACTGCTTCCGCCAGCTTAAGATTGAGGAGGAAAGTTTGTCCCCCCTCCAAACCCCTTTGGTCGGTTTCACTAGCGACCGGGTGACCTCCATCGGCACCATCGATCTCTCCATCACCATCGGCGAATACCCACGGCAGACTGCCAAGTTACTCACTTTTCTTGTGGTCGACTGTCCCTCTGCCTACAACATCATCCTTGGTCGCACCGCCCTCAACGCTTTCCAAGCTAACACTTCAACCTACCACATCGCCATAAAGTTCTCTACCGACCTGGGCATCGGGACAGTAAGGGGAGAGCAGACTGTAGCCAGGGAATATTATGTTGCCTCACTCAAGGAAGTCAAGCTGAAGGAGGCCATGATCATTGAAGGACTTGACGTCCGAGATGAGGACGAGCTGGTCAGAGGAGAACCGGTGGAGAAGCTCGTTGAGATTCCCATCGATCCCACCAACCCAATGAAAACTGCCAAGATCGGCAGCCAACTATCCCCCCAAGCTAAGGCCGAACTTACTGCCCTTCTAACCGAGCACAATGATGTATTTTCCTGGACTCATTCAGACATGACAGGCATTGACCCCTCTTTCATAACTCACCGCCTCAGCATTGAACCTCATTTCCAACCTTACCGCCAGAAGCAGTGCATCTTTCATCCGGAGCGCAATACTCTTATAGCTGCAGAGGTTGACAAGCTCCTTGAGGCACAATTCATCAAAAACGTGGACTACCCTAAATGGTTGTCAAACGTGGTCCTAGTCCGCAAAAACAATGGCAAATGGCGACTCTGTGTCGATTACTCTGACCTGAACCGAGCTTGCCCCAAAACAGCTATCCTCTTCCCTGCATAGATTTGCTGGTCGACGCCACAGCCGGTCATCAAATGCTCAGCTTCATGGATGCTTTCTCTGGTTACAACCAAATCCTGATGCACCCGTCCGATCAGGAACATACATCATTCATTATCGATCGAGGTACCTATCACTACCGTGTGATGCCATTCGGATTGAAGAACGCTGGGGCCACCTACCAACGGTTGGTCAATGCCGTTTTCCATCACTAGATAGGTCGGAATATGGAAGTATATGTCGACGACATGCTAGTCAAGAGCAAACTCTCCACTGATCATCTGACCGACCTGCAAGAGACCTTCACCACCCTACGCAAGTACCAAATGAAGCTCAACCCAGAGAAGTGCGCCTTCAGCATAGGATCTGGGAAGTTTTTGGGTTTTATGGTCAGTCAGCGGGGCATTGAAGCTAACCCTGAAAAGATCAAGGCCCTGATCGAGATCCACTCACCCAGAACGGTTAAGGAGGTTCAAAGACTCACTGGCCGAGTTGCAGCCCTCAACCGCTTCATTTCCCGCGCAACGGATAGGTGCCTACCATTCTTCAAAGTTCTTCGACAAACTTTTGAATGGACGGCTGAATCCAAAGAGGCTTTTCAACAGTTGAAGCAGTGCATAGCCAACCCCCCCTCCTTTCACAGGCAATCACGGGCGAGCCCTTCTTCCTCTATTTAGCCGTATCAAGCACCGCTGTCAGTGCAGCTCTTATCAAGGAAGACGGCTCTGTCCAACGACCGGTCTACTACATCTGTCGGGCCCTCAAGGGAGCGGAGCAGAACTACCCACTATTAGAAAAATTATCCTTGGCCTTGGTCACCGCCTCCAGACGACTCCGTCCTTACTTCCAAGCCCACTCCATAGTGGTCCTCACCGACCAACCCTTGAAGAAGGTCATGCAGCAACCAGAACTTCCGGTAGACTCATGCAATGGTCAGTGGAACTCAACCAATTTGACATCTCTTACCGGCCTCGAACAGCAATTAAGGGGCAGGTTATCGTTGATTTCATCTTGGAATTCACTAATCCTACCCCAACCACTGCCTCTCCACCCCCACCAGCTCCCATTGAGCCAGAAGACCCTCATTCTTGGACTCTCAACGTTGACGGATCATCCCGCAGAGAAGGTAATGGGGCTAGCCTCATCCTTACCACCCCTGAGGGTGGTTATTTCAAATGTGCTCTCCGTTTCTTGTTTGAGGCCAGTAACAATGAAGCCGAATATGAGGCATTAATAGCAGGTCTTCGCCTAGCCAGGGATATTGGTGTCAGCCACATCCGAGTGTTCAGCGACTCCTAGCTCATCGTCGGACAGATCACCAGAGAATTTGATGCCAAGGAGGACACAATGCGGGCTTACAGGGATATTGCATTTCCCCTTGTTCGCCTCTTCAATACCTTCCACATCAAGCACATTCCTCGGGCGAAAAACTCTAAGGCAGATGAGATGGCTCAGTTAGCTTCCGCAAACTAGTCTGACCTCAGCCGTGGTGTCCGCATCGAATACCTATCCCACCTCGCCATTTCCACCGACCAGCACGAAATACAATTTGTCCAAAATGAGCCCATCTCTTGGGCGTCGGACATCTTGCTATTTCTGACAACGGGGGAACTTCCAGACGACCAACAGCAAGCCGCCAAAGTCAGGGCCCAATCGTCCAATTACATCCTCGTCAGCGGCATTTTGTACAAACGTGGTTTCTCACACCCCTATCTGCGGTGCCTCAATCCGGCTCAAGCAATCTATGTGATGCAAGAAATTCATGAGGATATCTACGACAATCACTCAGGCGGCAGGTCCCTGGCCCACAAGATACTTCGCGCTGGATATTTCTGGCCTACTCTCAACCAAGAAGCAATTGACTTCGTGCTCAAATGTGATAACTGTCAGCGTTTTGCCAACATCCCCTACCGTGGTGTCGGCATCGAATACCTATCCCACCTCGCCATTTCCACCGACCAGCACGAAATACAATTCGTCCAAAATGAGCCCATCTCTTGGGCGTCGGACATCTTGCTATTTCTGACAACGGGGGAACTTCCAGACGACCAACAGCAAGCCGCCAAAGGTAGGGCCCAATCGTCCAATTACATCCTCGTCAGCGGCATTTTGTACAAACGTGGTTTCTCACACCCCTATCTGCGGTGCCTCAATCCGGCTCAAGCAATCTATGTGATGCAAGAAATTCATGAGGATATCTACGACAATCACTCAGGCGGCAGGTCCCTGGCCCACAAGATACTTCGCGCTGGATATTTCTGGCCTACTCTCAACCAAGAAGCAATTGACTTCGTGCTCAAATGTGATAACTGTCAGCGTTTTGCCAACATCCCCTATGCTCCTCCTACTGAATTGATCACACTTTGCAGCCCCTACCCGTTCGCCAAATGAGGGATCGACCTAGTTGGTCCTTTACCCACCGGCCAAGGCTAGACCAAATTTGCCATTGTCGCCATTGATTATTTCACTAAGTGGGTAGAGGCAGAATCCCTTGCCACCATTACCAAGCGGAACACAACCAAGTTCATCTGGCAATCAATCGTTTGCAAGTTTGGCATCCCCCAGGCCATTGTCTCCGACAATGACAAACAATTCGACAACACCAAGTACAGAAAGTTCTGTGCAGACCTCTAGATTCAACCATGTTTCTCTCCCCCCGTCATCCCCAAGAAAATGGCCAAGTTGAGGCTACCAACCGTTCTCTTCTGAAGATCGTCAAAACCAAGCTAGAAGCTGCTAAGGGACTTTGGGCTGAGGAACTACCAAATGTACTCTGGGCTTACCGAATTACAACTCGAACTCCCACTAGGGAAACCCCGTTCCGCTTAACATACGGCACTGAGGCGGTTATTCCGGTAGAAGTTAGTCTGCCTACTCCTAGGGTTTTACATCCGGATCTAGCATTAACGGAAGAACTCCATCGGGCAGACCTGGACCTAATTGAAGAACTCAGAGAGACCACTGCTGTCAGACTGGCCTCATACCAACAGAAAATGAGAACACACTACAACCGCAAAGTCCGACCAAGGGAGTTCGCTGTAGGGGACCTTGTCTTGAGATAAGCAACTCTTGCCACCAAAAATCCGACTGAGGGTAAACTGGCAGCCAAATGGGAGGGACCTTACATTGTGCAAGCCCGACCACGTTCGGGCACCTACCGACTTCAAGACATTGAAGGTCGAGACCTCCTCCACCCCTGGAACGCTGAACACTTGAAGCGCTACTTTCAATAAATTCCTACTGTTGTATTGCTCAGTTATTGTATTTTCTTTTTGATACATAATGTAAACTTTGATCGACTGGACTACACTATCCATGATAACAATTTTATATCTCAGCTATCTGTGTGTTGTCTCAATAACATTTTCATTTGCAGCACTTATTAACAGCCTCAGCCAGACTGAGCACCAGAAGCTTCAGCCAGACTGAGCACTAAAAGCCTCAGCCAGACTGAGCACAACAAGCCTCAGCCACACTGAGCACAACAAGCCTCAGCCACACTGAGCATGAAGCACTCGGCCAGACCAAACTCAGCCAGCCTAAGCATAACAAGTCTCCTCCAAGACCGAGCACCACAATTTCAGGTTTAGACTAAGTTACTTACAACGTCAGTGAATCATAGCTTAGCCTCAACTGAGCACGCATGCAGGGCTCGGTCAAGGCCACCCATGCAAACTTCATGCTTGTGGAATTAGTGAACACACTTAGTCACAATTCCAGCTCCAAGTCTTTACACCACTCTTTGTTCAGTCAAATTTCAAAGACATTCTTACACGTTTTCTTTACAAGTCAGGTTATTTTCTTCCCAATCAAACTCTTACAAGTCAGCCTCTTTCCTTACAAGCCAAGCCTCACTCCATAAACCACTAACCTACTTGAGCAGTGTGGCAAACACAAACTTATAATTTTATTACATTTTAAATTTCACTCTGCATTGAGGAGTTCCTAACTTTACTCCGCACTGAGTCTTTATTACAAGTTCAATTTCACTCTGCATTGAGGAGTTCTTAACTTTACTCTGTATTGAGTTTTTATTGCAACTTCAATCCCACTCTGTCTTGGGGAATTCCTAAATTCAGTTTTTATTACAAGTTTAACTCCACTCTGCACTTCACAATGATTCATACACAAGCTCCACACACAAGCCACCATTCTCATCCATTCAGATGCACAAGCAAAAATAATCAAATGCAAAACACAACTGAAATTTTATTTATTCACAATTTTGTACATAAGTTCATTACAGCAATTCAAAAAAAAAAAACAACAACAAATAAACAAACAAACAAAACAAAACAAAAACAACCACACAATGTTTGTGCAAGGTCTCTTTCTTCTTCTTCAATTACTCATCTTCGCTGGACACAAGGTCTTCTTCTTCAATACCCTCACCCAGGGGGGTCTGGGCCACATCGTCGTCGTCGATTTTCACACTACTCAGGTCCAAGTCTGGGAACAGCTCCTCAGCTTTACGCTTGAACATCTTCCAACCACTGTCCCAGAACTCAGCCATTTCATGTTTATAAAAGTCTGACCGCTGGAAGCTCTCAATCACTTCCGACTCAGTCCTGCCCCCAGTGGTCGTCCTCGATGGGCCCGCCCCCCAAGACTCCTCCCTCGCCAAGCTGCTGGTGACCGCGGCATCAACTGCCATCTGAAATTCAACAGGCCCCTTGAACTGATCCACTGCTACAACGCACAGATCGGGGTATGCCGCCCTTTCAGAGGCTACCTTGGCCCTCTCTTTGTCCAGATCCTTCTGCAAGGTCGCCCTTTCAGAGGCCACCTTAGCCCTCTCTTCCTCCAATTGTTTCTGCAGGGTCGCCCTTTCAGAGGCTGCCTTGGCCCTCTCTTCAGCCAACTTCCTCTGCACGCCCGCCCTCTCAGCAGATGCCTTGGCCCTCTCCTCCTCTAATTCCTTTTGTAGATGCCGTTCGAGCGCGACCGCGCAGGCTTTTTGGGCCTTCCCCAGCTTCTTCTGCTCGCCAGCCAGCTGGAACTCGAGCAACACAACCTGGCGGTGTTCGTTCTCCAGCTCCAACTTGACTGCTCGCAGCTCAGCATGGGTACTCTTCCAGTTTACACTCTCCTTCTTCAACCTTACAAGTTGAGCCTTGGCCTCATCTACCTTGAATTTTGCAGCCCCCGCCTTTCTCAGCAGAGCCCTTGCTAAGGTGGTTACCTCCATTTGAGCGGAGCATAACCCCCTCAGCAGCTCAGCCTCATTGAATCTGGCTGTTGAGCGCAAGGCTGCCTCTTCCACAATCCCCACAAGGTGATCTGCTCCTGCCCTAGCTGGGCCCTCTTCTCCCTATAGCCGCCCAGCCACTGCACGAGCGTGGTAGATCACAGTCGTCAGACTGACCCCTCCTCCTTGGGGCGCAAAACCGCCTTGGGACTGTTCTCCTCCCCTTGGCTCAGGGCCTGTTGCCCCACTTTCTGCTTGTACTTCGCGGGCGACCTTCGCGACCCCTGAGGCGATCTCCACCACTGCTGGGGCGACCTCCACAACCTTCAATGCTGGGGTGACCTCCACCACTTCTTGGACAGCCACCCTTCCTAGGGTCTCCTGCACTGCCCCCTTCTCTACCTCCTTGACCATAGGGGTGTCTTCCCCCCCAACCTTCGCCTTCTTCGACCCAGGCGCATCTGCAGTCCCCTCAAGGGCACTCTTCTTCTTCTTCTTCTTCAGAGCCTCCCCTTCCTTGTTCGCTTGCTCCTTCACAGGATCCACTAGGGGTGGTCGTGGTACAAAACTGCCTAAGTCCTTCCTCCCAGCGGCTTGGGAGGCGGTCGGATCCTCTCCCACGCGATCGGCTTAGGCAGTCGATCTTCCTACACCTCCTTAAATTTTGTGGCCTTGGCCAACATGGCCCTATCCTCAGCTTCCTACACTTTCCTCATTGCCTCTAGTTCAGCTCGACCCACATCTCCCCCACTCGGCTGAGGACCCAACCCCGCTACAAACAAGGCTGAGGGTTGAACGAGTTCGTCCCACCTGACCCCCTCCTTCTCCCGTCATGCCTTCACCCTCTTTATTCTCTCCTCTGCTGCTGCTCCCAACTTTGGCTCCACAGACTTGGTAGGCACTTTCCAAATGGTGCGCACTCCAACCCCTCCACTGGCGGACACATAAAACCACCGTGGTCTCCACCCCTTAATCGACGACGGCAGCCCCGCCACCAGCCCTTTCCCTGCTGCTGCCTGCAAAGTGACCCAAGTCTCTTGCTGCCCTGAGGCCTTGTAACATGCGAAAAATTCATCTACTGTCATGGCCGCCCCTTCGTTCGCCTTCGGCCACGCACTTACACAGGCCAATACGATCTTCCATGCATTGGGCATTAGTTGGCCCGACGCTAACTCCAAATGATTCAGGACATCTACCACCACTTGCGGCAGGGTGTAGACACCCCATTTTTGACCGACCTTGAGACTCAGACGTCACCAGTTGAGCGCTCGGTGATATTGCATATTGTGCTCGTTCAGAAGTTTCAGAGTCTTGGCTGCGAGCCTTGCCTCCGGACTTCCGGACTCTTTTGTGCTTTGCCTCAATTTGCGAACCAGGCTCCATTTTCTCTATTTTCTCTTCCCGAAGGGAGAGAGAGGTCTCGTAGATCATCTCTCAGTAGCCGTAGGCTACGTTTCGTGGTCGTAGGGCATTTTGCTCGTTTGGAGTCCGGTTCCCAATTTTTCAGAATCGTTGGCCGTGTGCCTCAGTTCGAGACCGCTTAACCATCTCCGTTTGCTCCGGTTCTTGGCATACATCTTTTTTGCTCCCTTTTGAGGGACACTGTGGTCCGAGAGACCAACTTCGTGGTCGAACACCACTCCCGGTGCCTAACAACCGGTTTTCGGGGCCTCGGGCTGCGCGTTTCGGCCCCCGAACCTTCATTTTGTATTGGTTTTGGTTCATTTTTGGCAGGGACCTCTGTTTCAGTGGTAAGAAGGCCGTAGAAGGGTGGGAGGCCAGTAATTGTTCTGTCAGCCAACTTTATCCCTCCATCGCCCTCCGTCACCTGATTTTCTTCACTTCAAAGCCAATGTTGAACACCCTTGGGCCATTTTCTTGAACCCTAAACCCCATATTTGTGATGTACACATCTGGGAGGCCACCAATATTTGGTGGCCGGCCAGTAATCCTTTCTGACCCTTTTGAACCCCTTTGAAAAGTGGGTTGTTCTCTCTCCTGGTTCACTATTTACAGTGTTTAACCACAGGGTTGTGTTGTGCACACATCAGAGGATCTCTTTCTGTGGTGGCCGGCCACTAATCACACTTGAACCTTTTGACCCTTGGCCGGCCGACCATGGGAAGTAGCCGACCGGCCACCTGCAACCTAGATAAGCAGCCGGCCATGCTCCTTGCATCAGGTACAGTGCAAATATGCATCTGTTTTCCCCCCAGATTGTGTATCCGGGGGGGTGCATTTTTGGGGGGAAACTTGATTGTTTTCCCTCCATTTCCCCCCCCCCATTTTCCCCCTCTTATTGCCTATATAACCATCCTCCAGCTCTGGTTTTAAGGGTTGGAAAAATTACCTAAGAGCTTTGCATACATACACCTTCATCTCTCTCTCTTCCAAGCTCTAATCCTTCAAACCCTATACCATTTTGCACTACATCTCATAGCACCACATCCCCATCTTCCATTCCAGAAGCTAGAAGTTGTTTTCTAGAGCTAAAGAACCACTAAACTCAAGTCAAGAGTTGCCTAAAGTTTGGTCTACAAGGGTAAGTTCCATTTCCCTTTTTTTTGTCCATATTTTGCATGCTTTCTAAGTCATATTTTCTTGCTGTTTTGGGCTCCGAGCCTAACTGGAACTAGGCTTATTTTGAGCTATGTTTCATGTTTGTTTAAGGGTATTTACCTGTTTGAGGTCTCCTTGTTGCACTTGCTCCATTATCTCCCTTGTATGCCATCTTCTTGTGTAGTATTTTTGGCTTATGTATAAACTGTTTTGAGCTCTGTCATGAACTGAAAAGTAGCTTATTTTGAGCCCTTATTCAACATTGTTAAAGGGCTCATTGCTGTTTTAGGCTTTCATTTATCAGTTGCCTTTATATCTCTCTTTTGGCCATATTTTTGCATGATTTGTTAGCCTCTTTTGATTCTGTTTTTGGGCTCTGGTCCGAACTACAAATGACCTTATTTTGACCCATTATTCATGTTTCATTAAGGGTCTTTCACTGTTTGAGGCATCCTTTATATACTTTGTGTTATATCTCTCTTTTTGGCCTTATTTTGCATAGCATTTTGAGCATTCTTGTACACTGTTTTGGGTCTGGCCACCAACTGGAAAATATCATGTTTTGGTCCCCTCTTCAACTTTGTTGAAGGGCCCTCTCGAGTTTGAGGCCATAAGCCATGACTTGCTTCTTTATCTCACATTTAGGGCCATTTTTGCATGCTAGTTTTGCCCTATTTGTGTTTATTGTTTGACCTTGCTTAGAACTGTAAATGTGCTTATTTTGGGGCTGTATTGACTCTTTCTTTACATTCCATGTTTAAATAATGCATGTTTTATATAGCTATAGGCCAATGCATAGGCCTAGTTTCGTATTTCGGTCGCATGTCATGCATCGGGTGCCTTTTTTTCCATCTTTCGGGGCTGTTTTGCATCACTTATTGCCCCTGAAATTTACATGTTTGCATACGATGTTCCATGCCTTTCCATGCTTTGGTAGAGTGGCATTCGTGCCTTAGGTTCGGTCCTCGATTTGCGTGCATGCGTGCACGCATCTCGAGTGTCTCATTTTCATCTAATGGCCTCCCTCCTATGTGAGTGTGGTGAGGTCCACTTGTGTTGGTGTAAGTCCATTGTGCATTGTGTATGCATTTTATTTTTCATAGCATTGCGTATGCTAAGGTTGTATGTTAGCGCATTGTGTATGCCCATGTTATCTGTGCATCGTGTATGCATTTCATTGCATTGTGTATGTTAGGGGTGTATCTTAGTTGCATCATGATACATGCATATTGCATTGTGCTGGGATAGGAGTTAGCCCGAGCACAGGGAAAGCGAGGTACGTTTCGTACTCATCGTGACTGGAAGCGTGTCTCAATTCCTGTCACAACGACACTTGTCGGATTTATCATGTGGTGAGTTTTGGCTTTTGTATTGAGATTTCATGTGCATGCTTCATTTCATATTGAGTATGTGCAATTCGACCCATCGTCGGGCTCATCATGCATTCAAGATGGTGATTAGGACTGGCGCATAGGATTCTGAGGATGCATACTTTATTTGTGAGGATATAATTAATTTCTTGCTAATGCCAGCTGTATTTCTATCACTTAATGATTTTTGTTCTCTGTTGCTTTTTTGCGATTTTTTTTTACCAAGGGAATCAGAAAATTAACGCCCACTCTCCTCTCTACCAGCTGCGGCTTGCGCGCTTTCCAAGAATACTATTGTAGACAAGGCCAGAAGGCAATCTGTGTAGGCTAATTAGGCCTTCGCTACCAGTGGATATGATTTCCACTACGCAAGAGAAGGCGCAGACATGCAATACATGCCTGTACTCTGTTAATCACCCATTGAAGAAGAGTGACACGAGTCAGTGACGTGAGACTGGCATTGAATGCCCAAGTTGTATGGAATAATCTTTATCTTAGTCTAAGACTGTATCTATCTCAAGACAAGCTCCGCTTAAGTCAAGACTCGCACAAGCGAAAGAATATTGAATCCACACTTAATTAAGGTACTAATTTGTATATTATTTTGGACGTAGATTACTATTTGTAGGAATAGTACTATAAAGAAATTTATATAGGACTCTGTCATACATCATTAAATTCCCCGG